ATCGCTTGGTAAGGAACTTATCCCCAAATCGTTCGTGAACGTGAACCTTCATATTACGAATTGTGTTCGTATCATGACAGCACAGAAATTGTTCACATTATGAACACGACGTTAGTAAATGAACAGAGTAGTTTGTAAGATTTTAAGAGTAAATTTTTATCAAAGAGGCCTTTGACATGATCGGGTCCCCTTAAATGTTTTTCTCTCGCTTGATCCCTCTCTATTTCTTGATCGCTCTCTCCGGACCCTGCAGGCACAAGGCAACCGCCGAAAAGGCGTAACCAGGGGCACCGACGGATTTGCATTCAATTCCTATTCTTATTCCACCACCTTTCGGTTGGAACGCTCGGCTTTTTCATCCTGTCGGAGGCCAGAGAGCCTGGGCCGAGGTGTGCGCCGCAGCCGGCTCCTTGTCTGATAGCTGCTGCAATGATGGGTGTACTTATCTGAGTTGCACATTTAGCGGGGGACTGCTGCTGCATCAAGCGGGGTGTCGAGAGGCTGCACGTAAGGAAAGGGGGGCGGAAGGGGAGGAGGTCGCTTCCACGAGATCGACTTTCTCAATTTAGTGTTGAAAGGCTCTCAGGAACGAGCGTGACTGGGCATACCACGCATTGCCGGGGGGTCGGAGGCCGGGCCGGGGCTGGGCTGCTGCGCGCGGAGCTGTGTGCCTATAATTTTACCCCCCCCCCCCCCTGCACCACCGTAAATATATCCCAGAGCAGGCAGGTGGACCATTGGGAGCGAGGCTGGGGTGGCACAGCCCGGTACCACCTCCCTGCAGCCGCTGATGAAAAGAAAAATACGGCCTCGACGCAGTAAAGGCAGGCATGTGATGATGTGTGCTGTGTTTCTGCAACTGAACACGAGCACGGCACTAAGAAGACCCGTCTTGGGCATTCGAGTCACGTCTCACCCCATCCCGTATCATACTCCTGAACATTTAACTATCACCACCAGAAATGGTTCTTGCCGCTTTTCGAATGAAAGACTTAGGGTCGTTTACACTCTATGTGTGAAGGAATTCTTTTTTGTTCTTGATGCGAGCAACGAAGTGTTTGTCCTAAACGGACGAAACGTGAAAGTTTACAATTTATTTGTGTCATAAGGCACAAAAGGTTCCTTAGGTGTTTCATTGTTTGAAACGAATCTACCGCAGGATGCAATCACCCAGTTGGCGTTGTAGGATCATAGTAAATAATAAATATCATGAGCCCGAAAAACCAGGATCAAAAGAGCTCTTGTTGCGGTGGACGCTGGGAGTTACTTTGCTAGCCATGAGTTTGTTTCGTAGTTAAATAGCACTGTTAGCGTTATTGTCAACAAACAAAGCTAGTAAATTGCGACCAAAGTCGGTCCAACCGACACGTCTTGTTGCTTGAGAATCGAGGGCCACCGAGGAACTAGGCGAGATAGCCGTGAGGGGAGGGGGTCGTGTCTCGTATGGCATGGATCCGTTTGAGGGCATTACCATGATCCAAGATGACATCCTTGTACCAATCTGCCGCTCGTTAGACCATTGAGATATCTGCGAGAGATGGCTCAGCCTGCCCCTACCCCGTTGCCCGTAGGACCCTCAGACAGAGACTGCCGCCCGTGGTCGGTCCAATTAGAGGAGGGCTTTCTGCCGGCGGGCCTAGCTCAGCAGACGCACGGCGTGAAGTCGGTCGGACACGAGACCAGTCACGGGGGCGTAGCCAAGGTGCGACAAGTGGGTGAAAAGGATGGAGGCAATCTGCGTGTCTCACTCACCTGCGGGTGCGGGGGCCCGTGCGCGATACGGGGGTTTCTGATGGGACCCCACCTCACCCGCTACCCGTGCGCCCTTGTGGTGGTTCGTCGCGGCCTCCCGTGACTCGTCCCTCTTGCTTCCAGCCCCCACGTCTCATTCTGCTAAGAAGGGCCACGCCCAGTCTCTATCGTCATTGTCATTTTCTGTCTAGGACACCCTGGCTCTTCTTCGCCACAATGATGCGTGCCCCCC